TTTCCATGTGATAAATTACTCTTACCATGAGCGTGTGCCTCCCAAAGCCTTCTTACTCATTACTGCCTCTTTCTTTCAATTCCAGGAACTCCTTTTAGCATTTCTTATTAAATCGGTCTAGTGGTTATGCACTTGGCTTTTGTATGTGCAAAGGGATCCGTACCTCTCCTCGTTTCTGAAATATTACTTTGCTGGGCCCAGCGCTCTTGGCTGACAGGTTGCGTTCCCCTTCAGCACTAGGAACAAGTCATCCCACTTCCTCACAGAGGGTGAGGCTCCTCTGAGGCGTCTGTTACCAGATCGACTTAAACACTCTAAAGTGTTGGGGGGTTTTATCTAGCTACTTTCAGAATTGTCTCTTTGTCTTTAATCTTTGGAAGTCTGACATGTCTTGGGGTAGATTTGATTCAGCTGAATCTGATGTGTCTGTTCTGTTCTGTTTTGTTTTTAGACAAGGTCTTGCTATGTAGTTCAGGCTGAACTAACTTGGTAGCCTAGGATGGCCTTGAGCTTCTGGGGATCCTTCTGCCTCCTCCTTCTGTGTGCTGGGATTACAGGGGTATTGCTGGGATTACAGGGGCGCACCGAATAACGGATAATCTTTGACTTTCCTTTATGTGAACATTTGTACCCTTCTCTAGAAGGAAAATTTTCTTTTATTATCTCTTTGAATAAATTCCCTGCCCCTTTGGCATTATCAAGATTCAAACCCCAATAAGCTGAGTATTTGTGCTTTTAGTATTTCCCCAAAGTTCCCACAAGCTTTCTCCATTCATTTACATTGCTTTTCCTTCCCTGTGTTTTAAAATAGCCTATTTTCAAGCTTGCTGAACCTTCCTTTGGCCAATTCCAATACTTATTTTCATTTTATTTATTGTACTTTTCATCTCCAGGACATTTAAAAAAAACTATTTCAATATCCTTTTAAGTTTTTCTGACAAATTACTGAGTTCTCTGTGGTTTGTTATCTTGTTTTTTGGTTTTGGACATTGCCTCAGTTACTTTTTACTTGCTGGGACAAAATACCCAACATCCAAATTTATGGAAGGAAAGGTTTATTTAGCTCACAGGTTGTGGAGGTTTCAGTCAATACTCGGCTGGCTCCCAGGCAGGGTGGCACATGGCAGAGGGCAGCGGCTCATGGCAGCAGCAAACAGCAAAGAGCAAAAGGAAGGGCAGCGGCTGGGCTCCAGCCAGCCCCTCTCCCCTCCTTCTATTATAAACAAGCTCCCTGGGGCTGGGGGTGTAGGACTCACACAGTTCCCACGCCTCCTCTAGCACAGGATCAGGATATCTACAACTAAGAATCCTGGCTCTCTGCTGAGTCGCTTAATTAAACTTCTAAACTTCTCAAGTAGACACAGTGTATCAACCAGCACAGTCATTCATTTAGCTTCCTTAAAACAGCTATTTCAAATTCTCTCTTGAGAAATCACACATATCCATTAGTTTATGGTCAGCGTCTGACACTTTATTCTACATGTTAAACGAGTTCATGGTTCTCTAAAAGATTTTGGTGGTTCCTGGAAGCCATACTCCTTCCCCTAGAGGATTAAATATTCATTCCAGTCCTAAGCATCACGCTTTGTTTCACCCCCGGGCGTGCTGAGCCAGCCACTGAGGCCGGACGTGATGGCATACCCCTGTAATCCCAGCCCTGGGAACACTGAAAACAGGAGGGTCACTACGAGTTCGAGCATAGTAAAACCCTGGATAAAATCCATAATTAATTAATTAATATAAAATAAAATGACACTGTGTACTTCCCAGAAATTTTAAACTGGCTGTTTGCTCTGCTCCGCGGTCACTGCCCCTATTTGAGCACTAGATGGCAGGCTACGTTCATGTTTGCCTCAAGTCCACAGTCACCGTGTTGTTACTGTTTCAGTAATAGAGGGTGCTCCTAGCCTGTTTGTTGCAAATCTGCAGTTTGTATCCTGTATAAGACGGACTAGAAGTGCCTAAAGAGAATAATGCTAACTCAGAGAGGGTCTGCTAGCACTCAATTAAGCCAGCGTGGGGCCCAAACCTACCTGTAGCTGTTGGATTCTGCCCACCCAGCCCTGAGCTTCACAAAAGAATATGCGGCCCTAAGTGCCGAACACTGGGTCATATCAAGAGCCTATAGTTGACCAAGACCACTGAAGCTCAGAGCCAGGATCAAGGTCCATGCTTCTGGGACCAACCTGATGCTGTGGTCTCTCGCTCTCCTGATACCACTGCAGCTAACAAGAAGTGGTATCTACGAGGGAAAATGCAAATCCATCTCACCAAAGCTTCAGGTTTCTGCCTGGTGCTGTCCCTGGACACTGCCTGGCTTCTGCCAGGCTGAGCCCTGAGTTCCAAGTCAAAGTCCTACCCTTACTTCTCTGCCATAACTTGCCAGCAAATGAAATCTTTCTCCAAACTGTGCTGCCTGATGTTAGAGGAGAAACGATAAACAAGAGTGATTCTAAACTGGGTAACTTCTGAAGCTTGCAACCTCAGACTCAAGTGTAGCCAAGGCCTGTGACATAGTCAGAAGAGGTGCAGGCTGGAATCTAAGTCCATCTGATTAAGGCTGCAGGCTCCTGAGTGGCCCTAGGTAAATCCAGCGGCTTCATCCATGAGCCCAGGACTGGGGTCAGGGGCTTTGGGGATGGTGAAGATGGTTGACCTGGTCCTGCATTCCAAGTCAGAGAGCACACCTACCTGCCTTTTCCTCTCCAAGCAGAGGCGTCTCTGGAGGCTGCTTCACTGATGAGAGAGGTGCAGGAAGGTTAACAAAACACCTTTTTCTTTCCTACCATTTTCAATGCAGCTTTTCATCCTATAATGCTAAAACTAGGTGCTCTGAGCCCTCCGGCTCCTTAGCTGTGATGAAGACAATTCGTGCATGAATAGTAGTTCATGTGGGGCGTGTTGGTGTGCAACACAGCCCGGCACTCAGCGGCTGAGGCGGAAAGCACGTGAGGCTGAGCCCCGGCGGGGCAACCGAGTGATTTAGTGAGACCCTGTCTCAAAATTGAAAACCAAAGATTATTTTGTTTTGCTTTTTAATTTTGTTTTAAAGAGAAAAACACCCACAAAATTTCAAAAACAATAGGAAAATAAAAACAACTAATTCATTGCATATAGTTATCTTTAGTTACTCAGAGTACAAATTATAGGCATTTAATTGTCCAAGCAATATTAACACCAACCTTTCTTTTCACTGAATTAAGAGAAATTAGTAATATAACTACATACAAAATAGCTATATTACTAATTTCTCTCTCTCTCTCTCTCTCTCTCTCTATATATATATATATATATATATATATATATATTGTTCATTGATTACTTTCCCCTTCCTTATTTTCTCCTTTCCCCCATCTCATTTCCTATTGAACAGTTTCTTCCCATTTCACAATATCTACTATACATTTTGGATCTTATTTGCTCTTTCAGCTTCTCACACTAGGGAGACAATATGATGTTTACATGTGTGAGTCTGATTTATTTCACTTATGAGTACAGCCTCGAGTTGTATCCATTTACCTATAAAAGCCTCCAATTTAGCCTTCTTTATGGCTAGGTAGTACTTCATTGCATAAAAAAATATCTTTTTTTTATTTACTCCTTGGTTGGTACGCATTTGGGTGTTTCCTAGATTGTGCTGCTGTTGACGCGGGTGTCTATATAACACTGTGATACAATGTTTTTACTTCTTTGTGAAGATACTCATTAGGAAATAGCTGGATCAAATGTGTCCTCCAATGATAGTTTTTTGAGGAATCTCCACACTAATTTCCACAGTTGGACCAGTCTACACTCCCACCAACAGTGGAGAAGGGTTCCTTTTTCCTCACAGCCCCTCCTACAATTATTATTGGTTGATTTCTTGGTAATAGCCATTCTTTTCAGGGTGAGATGGATTCTTAGTGTTATTTTAATTTGCATCTCGAAATGACCAGTGATGTTGAACTTTTTCGTGTATTTATTTGTAATTTGTATTTCTTAATCTGAGAAGTGTATATTCATCTCTGATGCCCATTTTTGAACTGGGTCTTTAAATTTGAGAGGTCTGATTTTTTTTGAGTTCTTAATGTGTTCCTGATAGTAATCCTTTATCTGAGAAATAGGTGGCAATTTTTTTCCCAGATTATGGTTTATTCCTCCATTCTGTTAGTTTTCTTGCTGTGCAAAAGCTTTTTAATAACATCAGATCCCAGTTGTTGATTCTTTGTGATACTTCATGTGTGATCAGGGTTTTATTCATAAGGTCTTTGTCTATACCAGTGTCTTCAAGAGTTTTACCTATTCTATCTTCCAACAGATTTAATGTCTGTTTTAATGTTTAGATCTTCGATCCATTTCAAATTTAGTATATGTTGAAAGTTACAGGTCCAAGTTTAATCTTTGATGTGTGCAAAGCCAGTTTTTCTAGCACCATTTATTAAAGAGGCTATCTTTCTTCTAGTGAATGCACTTGACACCTTTGTCAAATATAAAGTGGCTCAGAATGTCTGGAGTTCTCTCTTTCTAATTTGTTCCATTGGTCCTCAGGTCTGTTTCTGCCAGTTCCATGGTGTTTTTATCACAGTAGCTTTAAGGCATAATTGCAAGTCAGGGACTGTGATGTCTCCTGCTTTCCTTTGTTGCCAGAATTGTCTTTGCTATTCTAGGTCTCTTCTGGTTCCAAATTAATTTTTGGATAAAACAACACTTTTTAAAGGGCTAGGAATGTAGTTCAGTATGAAAACTCTGAGTAAATTTTGAGGTTATTACTGTTAATAATAAATAAATAATGATATTTAGCCTCACTATTTACCCTAGTTCAGTGTAAAATCTCCAGCAATGGGCAAGAACAGGCTATGTTTCTGTGGGTGAAGAGTCCCTGGAGCTCTTGCTCTGTCAACTTCAGTGTATTTTTAAAATGGTTCTGGTGCTTTTTAAAAAAGTAAAGTCTTGAAAGAAAGCAAACTTCAACTCTTTCTAACCGTGCTCCGGTTTGGCTTTCTTCCCCGGTTCCGTCTCAGGACTCAAGGGCTCCCTCCAGAGGCTGCAGCTGGAGTACGTGGACGTGGTCTTCGCGAATCGTCCGGACAGCAACACCCCCATGGAAGGTGAGTGGAAAAATTTGACAAAAGACTAAAGAATTACTGCAAGCTTGTCCAAGTCACAGTTCAAAAAGTGAATAAGAAATGAAATATATTTAGGTTGATTTTATTGAATGTGAAAAACTGTTGTTTGATGCTTTTTAGCCTCAGTATTTACCCTGCTAGCCTCTGTATTGTACATGGGTGCATGTTCTTCTCTTTTTCTTTTTCTTCCTCTTCTCTCCTCCTCTTCCCTCTCCTTCGTCTCCCTGATTTTCTTCTTATTCTTTGTAGTTGAAGGTACTAGGTTTATTGCTTCTGCTGGTAACAATGCTCATTTTTTCCAAGTTCATTTCACTTTATAATTACATCAACTAAAACAATAAACTTAATTAGGGGGAGAGTTTATAACCCAGGCATCAATATTTTAGAATGAGTCCCATAAGGGCCTTCATATTTCATGCTGGTCTAAGTCTGACTGCTTCCAACCTGTAGGAACAAATGCTAGCCAGTGCTGTGGGCAGAAGCATGACAGAAGCAATCAGCAACTCAAAGTAAGACTGCTGGCTGTTGCCCTTCAAGGAACTGAAACATCCTAGGTCTTTTCAGTTCCAATTGTTACACCACAGTTTAAGCTTCAGCCTTGGACGTTTCTAGAATGTTCCTTGAAACAGATTTTCTGCAGCATCCATTTGCTTATTAAGCGTTCTTAAAAAATGGCTTTAGGGACAGTTTTTTAAAAATGTTCCAATTAATTTACGTTTACAATCATGGATTATTATTTACCCAAGATGAGTAAAAGTAGAGACATTTGAGGATAAGGAGAAATAGAAATGTTTTGGTTTTTTTTTTTTTAATTTATTTATTTGTGTGTGTGTGTGTGTGTGTGTGTGTGGCCAGCTCAGTCCACCAGGGGGTGGGGCTGGCTGGCATGTGGTGCTGGGGGATTGAACCGTGGTCCCTGTGCTTTGCTAAGCTTGTTCTAAGTAGGTGCTTTAGACCACTGAGCCATCTCACCAGCCCTTGGTTCAGTTTTATAATATATCAATTATCAGTTTTCAAATAATAACAGTATAACTTACATAACATTAAATTAAAGGTAATTTTGTATTTAATGATACAAAGGATACTTTAGGCTGTTGTAACAAATGAGCTTCTACAAGATTTATTCTTTGTGTAGGGTTATAGAAGATATGGAGAAATGTAAATGATTAATGTATATATGAATTTTTCTAGGTTAAACATCTGAGCATAAAAACACTAGAGAAACTACTCTGACATTTTTTCCCATTTATTTATTTTTCAACTATAGAGAGCTATTAAATGTCTATTATGTATCTACTTATTTATATCTTATTTCTTCCTAGAATTTTCTACTTTCTTGATTCTGGAAAATTAGGACTTTACTATAAAGTAACATAATGGTTGGAAATTACCCATTGGAATGACATAAGGATCCACACATGTTTTGTCACAGCCAAGATTAGGTGTCTTAAGCAAACCTTAAACACTTTCTTCCTATAAGGATAATATAGTTTCATAGTTCTCAAAGACAGGTGAAATCATCACTAAAGCAATTTAGTCAGTGAAAGTGTCAAAAATGCCACTGAAGGGCCCACCAGATAGCTCAGCAGGCTCAGTAGGTGCAGGGACTGGGGTTCGATCCTTAGCATGCCCTGCCAGCCCCGCCCTCGGGGCATGCTGAGATAGGAACTGAGACTGGGTGTGGTGGTGCATGCCTCTAATCCCAGCTCTTGGAAGGCTGCAAACAGGCAGATCACTACAAGTCTGATCTATTTAGTGAGACCCTGTAGACTCTGTACTAAATAAAAAAAGAAAATGCCACTGAGAGGAGTCTATGGAAAACAAGAATTGCTTCACATTTTAAGCACCTAGTGACTACTTACCTTCTTGTAATAGTGTCTTTGGCAACTATACCATGTACATGGTCAGAATGGAACACAGGAAGTTCAGTCCCCCCCCATCCCAACCCCACCTTTCATTTTACAAATATATTACAATGGTATTTCAAAAAGTAAACATAATTTAAATATCTATACAAGAAGGAATATATTAGAATCTCTTAAACAAAATGTTTGCTTTATATATAGGTAGAAACTGTAATGAGATAATGGTGTCTTGGTTGGGTATCTGTACTCCTAGCTGGCCAAGAAACTGAGGTAGGAGGATTGCAAGTTGGAGGCCGATCTAGGCAATTGAACAGAACTCCATCTCAAAAGGGATAAAGATGTAGCTTACTGGGAGAGCACTTGGCTGGTTCGTTTGGGGCCCTGGGTTCAGTTCCCAGTTCTGAGGGGGGAGAAAAGGTTAATGATGTCTCTTATGCAAACTCTATATCTTAAAATTTAGCTAAAAGAAGTTTCAAAGTGTTTTTTTAAAAATAGATTGCAGCTGTCTGGTAGTTGTAACTATAGCATTGTCTAGCTTCTACTAAAATCAGAGAAAACTTACATGTTCCCAAAATTTTTTATAAAATTCCACAAAGCAAAATAGAAAGCTATTATATATGAAATCATCAAAATTACAGAAGCAAAGAAGACTCTCAAACAATGGAAGTTTTCTACTTGTTGGAAAGGTTCTGGAACATACCATTTAGTAGCCAGCTCAGCAGCAATTGACCAGCTCCTGCTGGCGTGTAGTCACCACACAAGCCCCTTGAGCTCCAAGGTTGAGTTGTTCAGAGGCAATAGCAGGGGTGTTTCATGGCAGTTCTCATGTAGCACATCTTCCAGAATGAAGTAGTTTCCATGTGAGTTTTCTGTAGCTTTCAGAAAATATATACCATAGCTTCACACTCAGTATGCTTATTTGTTCCAAGGCAGATTCAATGGAAATGTCAGAGTTTGAAACTGATCGCTAGAAAAATGCTTTCAATTAGCTTTTTCTAGCCTACAGAGGAAAGTACTGAATTGGGAAATTTAAAAAATAGGAAATGAAGGGTAGCCAGGTGGGCTTGGGTGAATTTAATTCTCAAAAGTGGGTGTGGAAAGGGATGCTGTCCAAGCTATTTCTGGACTTTATGTTGTTAAGATTCATTTTGCAACGATTTTGTAAAACATATGTGTATGTACATAAATGAACATTGTACATATGCAATGAGATCTACTTGAGGAGGGCTATTAGTGTTTTTAAAATCAATACATAAGGTAAATACTATGTATAATCAAAACTGTTCTTGAAAATCCCTCAATAACTCTGTTAGTGTTACTCTCAAGTCTTCAACTATTTATTCAACTTTTTTCCTGGTATAGTAACAAAACCACCATCACATACTTATCCAGCCACTTCTCTTTTTATAATGACTGGAAAGTCTTAAATATCATTGACATACTTTCCTTGTTTCAGCAATCCACAGTAGCTATTTTAGGCTCCTGTGTTTCCATTTCTGTTGAATAGAAGTGACACAAGAGTGACACATGTTGTTTAATTTCCATACATTAAATCTATAAGTGTTAATACTACAGATCCTGAGCACTGTAGATGACTTTAATTGGTTTCAACCATTTCTTCTCAAGTCCATGAGCCTGTAACATATACTAACTTTTGATTTTTCTATGGCATGCATGTACTTTAAACCAAAGGTATCTACACACTTCCCAAACGAGGGAGGCCAACCACATCAGCATTAGACCTTCTCTCACTTACTACACCTTAGAGTAGACATGGCGCCTCCAGCCATTAACCATACAAAATCAAGGACCATGTGTGTGCCTTTGAGCATCTCTAAGGCACATTTTAAACAACTTCCACTTAAATGTGTTTAAAGAGCCATCTCTATTTATGTGATTTCTACCATGAAACAATGTTAATTAGGAGTATTTCTAAAATAAACCAAGATGTGCTTCATCTAGTTTCTGTCAATCATATACAACCAACTGAGCCAGGAACAGATTAGCTGCAGCATGTTCTTCATGATATAGTGGCTACATTGGACATCCTCCAGTTGGTCGTGGCCTTCCAGTCTTCCTTAGAAAAATCAAACGTGCAGTTAATGGAGAAAGTGACATATTTTATCTGCCATCCATAACACTATGGGCTACAGTTAGATAGCTTAAGGCCCAGGAAGATGTTCCTGACAGTAGAGGGGAGCATGTGTACTTTTTCTTCTGTCCTTCTTGCTTTTTTTTTTTTTTTTTTTTTTTGTGGTTCACCTAGTAGTAAGTCACTTTTCTTTTGCAGCATCTGCCACACCATCTGTCTCTGCTATAGTATCTGGCAACTATGTCATGTTTTCCAATCCTAGAAAAAAATCAGCCCCATATCACATTTCTTCTTTCTTGAAACACTGTGTTTCTCCACATAAAATCACTGACCATTCTTTGTGCTCTATAAAGCTCAAATTCTTAATTCTGTCATTTACCTAAATCCTCAATGTGGGCATCAAAACTCTTCTTCCAGGCCCACCAGATAAGAGAAAGTTCAGGGTAACTTAAGTCATGGGGATATGGATAGACAGAGTATTCAGGTACCTGGGGATCTGCGCTAGAGGTTTTTGTCTTGGTTTTCTGTCACTTTCAAATGCCAGACTAATGTCACTGCTCCAGGGAGAACGTGATGGAGTGTGACCACTTGTGAAAAAATAACAAAAAGAGAAAACCTATTTTAGTTTATGTTGCTCTTAAAATTGGTTGGTGTGAGCATATGATGATTTTTCAGTTCAATTAAACTTTGTAAATTTTTGCTTTAAAAGAAAACACTTGAAAATGAGTCCTCTTGCTTTTCATTTAGAGATTTTTGCCAAAACTAATCTCTTACTATTCCTGAGTTGTTAACTATTACTCCTATACTAATTAGTGCTCTATTTATTGTTTTCTTCTTGAACATTAATGTAGACATAAAGCACCATAAATGTCTCAGCTTCAAATAAGAATCAAAATTAACTTCACTTAATTCCTATAATACTAAGTCAAATATTACAAGTATTTACTTTTTCTCAGCCATTTCTTTTAGTATTGTCACAGGCAAACAGGAATCTATGGATATTTAGAAATATATGCTAGCTAATG